AACACACTTGGCACTGCATCATGACGTAAACAATTAAGTATACTAGTCTTTTGTTCTTTATTGTAAAGGATTAAATGACGTCATAGCATCACCCTTCCCTGAGCGCCTTCTAGCGGGGCTAGACTGCAGTACCTTACTACTGATGATTTTTTAACCATTCCATGGCCGGCGGAACCGGGGGGAGGCGGGGGCGGGGCCCGACTTCCCCTCCCCCCACTTTTTGGCAAAAAATATATAATGTTTGGAGATTTTTGTATGATCGGAAATGCAAAAAAAGGAGGGAAGAAGGAGGAGAAGGATGGGAAAGAGAATGTTTATCCAGTACATTTTCTGGCAATTCACATTGGCGGATCTAGGGGAGGGGGTCATGGGTCCTGACCCATCCCTTGGGCAACAAAAAAAAAGGGGGAAAGAAAAAGAACTCTAGACCTACCTTTTCAGATTTGTTGTTGTTGTTACAATAAGAAAATTAGAATTTTGAACAACATAAAAGTCATTAAAACACTTCAAATGTCGGAAAGCTCATTTCCCGCCATCTAATAATCAAAATTTTCAAGGGGGAGAACCCCCGGACCACCCTTTCTTTTTGGGATTTATCGATTCATGGCAAAAAGAATACGCATGCAACTACTCATTTGTTTATGTATGTATACACACATAAAATAAAAAAAATGAGAAAAATTTACCTGACCTATTTCTGTCTCTTATACACATCTAGATGTGTATAAGAGACAGTCACTCCCCAATCACAGGAAAAGGTGGAAAGACCACACCTCACATTGCGAGAGAAAACTTTTTCGATCCTTTCAAAGTGAGAAGAAAACTGAGGGCTTTGGTTAATCGTTGTGGACCAAACTGGGTTGAAAATCTACAACGTAATACACGGATTATTAATAGCGAAGCAAAGGAAGAGTTGAATTACAAGTCTCCGTTCCAAATATATTTTGGACGATCCAATAACTTACTCAAGAATACTCTAGATGGTGAAAACCCAGATGATGTTAGGCAGGAGGATTTTGCGTTTATCTCAGCAGAGAGACCAACTTTAGCTGAATTAAAAGTAAAAGAAGAGGCCACGAATAATATTCGAAATGTTGTTAA